CAGTGACAGTGAGTCAATAGGCAGAGCAATCGTCACACCAGCATCCTACATGGATGACGAAATCACGGCCACTAACGACTCGGACGCGAACTGACAAGCCAGCATCGCATCAGTAACGACCCCTAGTGGTGATCGCGAGAGCTGATAATTATAGTACGCATGTGGTCTCATGGCAGTTACGGACTATAAATACTGCATTCCTAGCGCCTCCACTACCCTTATCTGCGACACTCTCTGATGCTGGGTTCGAGTGAGAATCCGAAATATCTGGCTAATAAACTTCTTGTTCCGGTGATCTCATCTTCTTCAGAACTGCTTCCAGGATCTTGGCTACTTGCTTCTATCGGCAACTGCTGTTACACTAATAATTCCGAGGTTAGTGTACGAAAGTTACATACGTTGGTCTTTATCAAAAAGAGTCAAACACTGAAATCCAATAAACATCTGAACGCGCCTTTCCCGACGCGTATGATAGAGGAGCAAGAGGAGAAGTAGAAGAAGAAGAAGAAGAAGAAGAAGAAGAGGAAGAAGAAGAAGATGAAGGAAGAGGAGGAGGAGGAGGAGGAGGAGGAGGAGGAGGAGGGCGGGGAACAGTCCTCATTGTTGTCGTCGTCTGTCGCAAGACTACGGTTGCCTAAAAGTCGGAGTATTCAGACAAGCGAAAAATACGGCGCATGTATTCAGCAACAACAGCAACGACGTAATCAGTCAGAACCGAAGTTGCATAATGTTGTTGTGCCGACGTGCTGAGACAAATTAAAGTGTGTCGGAAGAGAGGGTTGCGGGATTGACAAATCGTCGACGGGTACTTAGAGAGAATGGCTATCCGCTACGTGCATAAACGAAGTGAGAAATCAAATCAAACTGACTCCACATTTTGACTAGCACTGCTGTACGTAGAGAACTTCTCGGAATTTGTCAACTGCGACGGACCGGACGCCAAGTAACGATGCCGAAATGTCTGCTGTCGCTGCATGAAATGCGTGGAGTCAGTAGTAGTGAAGATGCAATTCCCAGGTGGTGTGGCAGAAGAAAAAAGCAGAAGAAGAATAAGAAAAATGGACGTTCGCCGGAGAGGTTCGTTTGAGATCTGACGTTCTGGGCAGTGATTTTGCCGGGTAGGTTTCCGGATCTGGTGCAGTTGCGGGCAAAACAACTACAGTAGGTGAGCTAATTCATGAAATTCCAACCGAAATTTCGAAATTCGTTTTCGTTTCGAAAAGATTAATTAAGTTGGATTGTAAAACTAATCATCGTGCAGCATAATTCTATAACAAATCCGTCACCTCAGCATGCCGGCTTCCGAACGTACTTCTTTCCGACTGCATGCAAAAACTATGCTCTGTAAAAAAAAATAACTACATATGTGGCATGCATTTTTCTCACTGATTTCGATGCCCTTAAAAATTCAAGTATATCTCATAGAAAACAGGCATAACAATATTCAATCATTTGCTCATTCAGTAGATAATTACGTCTTCTCTCAATTTTATACTTGAAGGAGGGACATAATTCGGTTTTTAAAAAGTTTATAATTGTGTGACTTTTAAATACCGTGAAATGGCCGTTCATAAATCGTCATGTCTCTGCATTCACCAGTGTGGCTTGTAAAGTTAACAATATGGATCAAATCCACTGCTTAATTTCATGAAACCTATATATTCTCCCTTTAATGCCGTAGAGAAATGTATGGTTTTCCGTACGCGGCAAGTATACGGCTTGTAGTTTGGGAACCCTGAATGCAAGTGTAACGGTAGGTCGGGTTCAAAATTATTTGCGAATTGCAAAAGTTTTTGAAAACCGAATTATGCCCTTTATTCGAGTATAAAATTGGAAGAAGGCGTCATTTCCTACCGAATGAGCAAAAACATTAATGCTTTTATATATGTCTTCCATGAAATATAATTGGATTTTTAGGGGCATCGAAAACTCAAGTAGTCATTTCTTGCAGAATGTAGCTTTCGCATGCAGCCGGAACGAATTTTGTTCGGAAGCCGGCATTTTGAGGTAACTGACTGATTATAGAACTATGCCGTAGGATGATTAGTCTTACAACCCTACTCAATTACTCTTTTCGAAACGGAAACGCATTTCAGAATTTCGGTTGACATTTCATGAGTTAGCCCACCTACTGTAGCTGACTTTTACGGGCGTTCTTCGATTGCAAGGCTTTCATCTCTCCTCCATTAGGCCCCCCCTAATTGAACCAAACCCTAAGTCTCCAAAGGACTTCCCTCCTGCAGAGGCTTTAATGTAGCGAAAGCTTCGCATTCCAGTCGACGAATTTCATCCAACACCATTCGTGCGAAGACAACAGAAAGTTGGTCGTGAAATATTCCGCCCAAGGTCGGTGGAAAGACAATTCGACAGACGCCACTGAGCAAAGCGGCATTCATTCAATCCGGCTGAGAGGATTTTGACAAATGCCTATAAGGGCAGTCAGGAATTGGTGGACGCTTAGGAGTGCTCACTGAAAGTGTTGGCGTCGTCTACGGGATTCTGGTCAGATCAGATATTTGGGTGAGCTACGCCAGTCGGCTGAGACACAATAACGTACTAAATTCATGCCCACTTCTATCAATGGATCTACTACTGGGCACATTCGATTTGCCGAAAGCAAGGCAAGAAACCGCAATCCCAGTTTCAAGGCGATCTCTTCAAACACTTTGAACCCGCGGCTCAAATCCTACAATTTAGCTGACGTGAAGGCGTTGGAAAAACACGGTTGGCTATTGCGTTGCACGACGGCCTAACGGCCTGCTCACAACCCGTCCTAAAGATCCGCCCACACGCCGTGAGCGTGCTGATACCGTGCCAGCTGGAGGTTTAAGCAACCAATCAAATGAGTCAGAAGTTCAGCCGGCACGCTATCCACTCAGGACCAATAGCTGATTGGTCCAATTTCAGTTCGACCTTGAATACTTCCATATGCCCCTTTTATCACCCTACATACCTTGTTAGAATATTCCGATGCACTTATTTTCTTCCGCTCCTACTGTTGAGTTCTGATTTGGGGGTTCGGTCGAGGGCAGTTGTTAGACGGGCGACCATCGGAACGTGCGGCAAGGTCATAACCAATTCTATGTATCTAACCCCTAATGGAGACTAAACACGACGTAACTTGGTGACATTTTTCCCAGGGAGTAAAGCGAGTCATATTACGAAACGATTAGAGATCGGCAAAATCGGTCAGCTGTAATTGCCTTCCCGGTGAGTGGCCGGCGACTGGGTGATTGTCTTCTTCCGTCAATGTGCCACGTTGCATGGTCAAGCCCTCAGAACGACGTCAGAATTCCAGGGTGTGACGGGATAGTCAAAAGCTTGCCTGGACTAAAACTAATTTTGGAACTGGCTAGTATGCGTAGGCAGGCCATGCTTTCAGTAGCAGCACGATAACGCGGTCATAGCATCTGTTTTGAACCGGACAGGGGATGAGAATTGCGTTTTTTGTCAGTTTTTTGTATAGAAGCCATTAAGGAGGTAAGAGAGCGTGCCAGCCTGTAGACCTATCGGATTTACTCTGCCCATGCGTGCGCTGCTTGCCTCGACACTGTTGCATGCGTCCGTGAATGACTGCGCGCCTTTGGGATGCATGCCGCAGTAGGGGCGGTCTAAATTAGCAGAAGGTTTACTGATGACAACATACTTTGCAGCGGAACTCACCTGTTTGGTTTAATTGATAGACCGAAATTATCTGTTTTGGTTTGTCTTGGGTGTAGAGCCTGGTGTTCATTTAATTTCACCGCAAGTCGCCTGCGATACGGACATCATTCCATCGGCAGAAAGGAAAGCAAAAAAAACAGCACTGGGATGTTGCTTTATCAGAAAAATGCAGTCCATATTTTCAACCACTAAACTCATCAACCGACAGCACAGAAAGGGGGGATGTTTCAGAACTCAAAAGGGCCAAATTACTGGGAGCCGCCCTTACCGACTTGTTCGCACGCCACCTTAACGACACGCCCAGACAGAATGCCCGTTTATATCGCGTCAGTCGCGGGCAGGGCTTCCAGTTGGGCGTCACGTCAAGAACGTAACACAGACTTCCACTGTAACGATGCCGAGCAAGAAGCCAACAATTTGCAATGACTGGCTAGTCCCAGGCCTACAAGCTAGGCACTATTCCGCGAAGAGTTCTGCACTGCAGGATTTAGTACCGCCAACTTAAGTGTCGGTCCCCTCTCTCAATCGTACATTTGCAGTAACACAAATCAGGTGCCAGATGGAGGAAGATGAGCACGCGGCGTCCCCTATCACCCTCTATGTCGCTATTGCTCCTGCAGCCGTACAGATAAAACGCGCAAAAAAGCTAATGTTCGACTACACGAACCCAAACTAGCGGTTTAGTAGGTGAAACATTGTTTCAGGTCACTCCTTGCACCGTAGAGCCTGGCCTCGCGCCTGCTCGTGCTGATACAATTATGATACACCCGATAAATATCAAAACAGGCCAAGAGCTATTTGGGGCCTGAACGCCGCGCTGTGACCGACATACTAAACTTTCTCCTTCCTGTCAGACTTTGTGACCTCGTTGCCAACTGGTGTGACCCCGATTTTGCCTTAGTGGCCGTTCGAGTACAGCCCTGTAAACGCCATTCGCATTTTAGTGTTTTTCATTGGCCCTAAGTTTCGGCCCCTGCACGAGTCCATAAGGTCAGGGAAATAAGGGCCCTCAAACGCGCGTGGGTGTTCATTGACATCTACCACGTAATGCTCTTTCGGTGACCTTGGCTTGCTCAGTCTGTGGCGGTCAAGGATGTGAGATCAACTTAAACCACACACAATAAGTTCGTTTCCTCTGATGACAGAAGCCAGGGAGCTGTGGGAACTAGTTTATTCTGTACACAGGGCAGGTTGTCGTAGGTTGGCTGTTTGCTTGCAACAGAGCGAGCGTCCGTTCACGGAGAGCGTCAGTCGGGGTGTGTTGTTTACGCGGGTGTGAGTGTCTGAGTGTTGGTCGTGTGATTGGATAAATTAGGGGAGGAATGGAGGGCGCATAGTCACAAGGCCTCACGGGAATCAAGCCAGAGCGTTCGACGCGCGTTAGGTCATACTAGTTTGTGAGGGCAGCCGGGAGTCACTGCAGCTGGACAGGAGGCGCCCCAGTTCTAGCCGATGTGGGTGGTCGTGTGTCAGCGGCCTGTCAGTGCTTGTCGCGGCCATCGACCAACAAAACGGAGCCGGAGAAAAGGGGGCTGGAGCGGCTGCTACAAGTCTACATCCGATAAACTTCCTATTCCGTGGAATTGGGTCCAGCTGTGCGTGATTGAGGTTCTTAATCTATCTTGCCAGTTAAATGATGATTTAGTTTTCGAATTCACGACAGTAAGGGGAAGGCTTGAGTAAAGCCAACGCTCCAGCCACCTAAACCACGAGACCCTACTGGGAGCCGCGAATTTAATCACATTTGGGTCAAGTTACGTATCCAGCCTACTGCAACTTTTGGTCAAAATAAATTATCCATAATCTACCAAGACACGTATGAATTACGTGAGCCTGGTAATCATCTGGCGAATACTAGATTGATTACTTAGGAAGTGCTGTTTGGTCAGTCAGCTTAGTGGATCCCATAGGTTGCAGCAGGATTGGCAGGTAACTTAACTCAGTTGTGATAAAGTATACGATTCCCAGTAAGGCCTCGTGGCTAAGGTGGTCAGAGCTTTGCTTGTACTCACGCCTTCTCCTTGCTGTTGTGAGTGCGGACCACACCAAGGTCGCTGAGTTTTTCACAGTCGGTCCAAAATAAATTATTCAAGGTTTAGCAAGACCCCCATTGATTTCCTTTTCGTTGTATCCTTTCTCACAACAGCCTGTTTTATGGAGACGAGAGCAGAAAGGAGTCACGACCTGAAACGCGCGTCATGGAAGGACAATTTGATTGCACAATTCACACTTGAAATCAGCAAACCGATCAGTGTGTTCTGCATGACCGAGCGGTCGCTATGCCATTTCTCATGCATGCAGTCCGTTCATACAGCGCTGCATTTGTTCGTTTATTTATGCAGTTTATGAAGTATACAATAAGGTCCACATCCATTACAAAATATGGCAATTCTTAGATGACAACTTCTCAATAGCTTAAAGGAACATATGGCATTCCGCGCGCGGAAAGTATTCAGCATGTAGTTAAGAAACCCAAGTGCAGCTGCGGGCCGGGTTCAAAATTATTTGGAAATCGGAAAAGCTCTTTAAAACCCAAAGCTATCCTTTTTATGCAAAAGCTTTGAAAAAAGTGCAATTTTCTACCAAATGATTATGATCCATGGTAGTCTCTGTTACAATTCAACTTAATGTATCCTTTCTAATCGAAAACACATCTCTAGAGTCGTCAAACGCAGACAACTAGAGTCCTGTGTGTAACCTTTCAAAGAGCCACCTTTAAGGCTTCATCCTTGCGCCCTATCTGTTATTCTACTCGATTAAAGCTAACTTTCAATGCTCTGCCTGTCCCTCTACTCAGACAAAAACTCACATAATAGTGCCTACTAAAACTAGACAGTAGCACGTGATTGTACTGTCAACGCTCTGGTAACGTGAACTACCACACGCTGTCTTAAGTCCGGTTACACGCGAACTATTAAAATGTACCCAAATTTCACCTGACTTTAAATATAACTGAGCAGCTCGTGAGCATATTTAAAAGCTCCAATTTTTGAATATTTTGGGAAATTAGTAGCCACACTCATCCGCTGAACTATGTGCGCACGGCCTTAATAGGCGGTATGTGTGCGGCAACTGTTCTACTTTTAATTTCTTATACGAGCACCCACAACTATCTTTACGAAGAATTAGAAAATTCTCATATTTATCCTTCGCATTTAACCTTTCATTAGTGATCATCCTTGACAGGCCTCAGTGGTCAGCGGTTTCACAAGCACATTCGGGCCATGCCTACACAATGACTGCGAAATCCTACAGTTTGGTCAGGCGCTAGCCCCGTCACATCTGCTGTCGAACTTTGGAGACTCCCTTGCGCCTCCTCTTTATGGATTGTTTTGTCTTCCGGTGGGATTTGAACATGTAAATACTAAAAAAATCCGCCAATTCTCACTACTAATCTTAATCGAAACTCGTATTTAGAAGTTTATAATTAGGTTACAATATTTGGACGAGCGCAACAGCCCCAAGAACCGGCTGCACTGGAGATGCATTGAGCCAAATCGGCCCATGGCACGCATTAATCTGGCTGCGCAGAGCCCGAGGATGCTCATAACTGGCAGTTCGACCGTCGTGCCCCATGATGTTCACGGTGTGCCCTATAGCAAGGCGAAGCAAGCATGTTGACTTGCGTGTCAATTAGGTAACACTTAGAGTGTAGAAGAAGGAGACACGATCGCTGGGACAAGAGCTTTATTAGCCTGACTTTTCGGATTCCTGCTCGAACCCATCATCAGAGGCAAAAGCAGATACGGGTGGATCATGTATAAGGGGCTGCACTATTTATAGGGTGCAGTTGCCATGCTTCCGCATACCTATGAATATTCACGGCTCCCCTCCCCCCGTCTTCATCCGGGATCGTCGCACGTGGTGTGATGGCCGACTTTCGCGTCGTTAATTGCTGTAATTTCATCATTCGCGCTGGATGTTGGTGTGATGACTGCTCGACCGTCTGACGTACTGACTCTCGTTTTGGGAAAAGTGTTCACTTGTGTGCCCCCCGCGTGGCCAATTACTCCGCCTAGGCGAAGTCTCAACACCGAGTATGAAATGGGAAGATCATTGCACTTGTTAATAGACTGGGGGCCAGTAAACCATGACTCAAGCAGCTGCCGGCTCACGCGGTCGTCACCTCTAGCGAGGATTTCGGCCTCGTCAAATTTGAAACGTCGGGCTAATAAAGCTCTTGTCCCAGCGATCGTGTCTCCTTCTTCAAGACTGCTTTCTGGGACTCGTCTCTTTGCTTCTATTGACAGTTTGAGTTTACTTGTGCAGCATTTACCACACTCTCTCCCCCTCCCCCACCTGGACCCGATGTCAAGACAGAGTCGAGGAGACCAAATGCAGGGGAGGGCGCAGGTGGCTGACACGGCGTACCGCAACCCCCCCCCCTGGTCCACAAAAAAACTTGACCAGGATTTAACCATCCAAAACAACAATACAACGAGTCAGAAAGACGGCGAGGATGACTGGGCAGCCATGCTCACGACCTGAATACCCAGCGGGAGCGCAAGCGCATCTACCGGCAGGGAACCAGGTGTCAGAGAACCGCAAGCACACACCAGACTGCGCGGGCCACGATTTGTTAAGTAATGGCATTTCAGACGCTCACAAACTTGAAGGCCGAACATATAGCTACTGCCGTACGCGCGTGTGGTGGCGCCCCATAAGTAGGCCTTCAAGCCACACAGTTCGACCGTCGATTCCGTCGATGTCCATTGTGTGCTACACAGCAAGGTGAGGGCAGGGACGGCGACTTGCGCGTGAATTAATTTAGAGTGATGGTGGACCTGCACAGCATCTTACGCAGTCTCTCTCCTCCCTACTCTCTACCTGTACCCGGTGTCAAGACAGAGTCAAGAAGACCGGAGACGAGGGAGAGCGCAAGTGGCTGGAACAGCCGGACCCGCACCTAGGCGTGCCACCACCTCCCCTGGTCCACACAACACCGCAACGGGTCAGAAGGACGAAGATGACCGGATGGCCATGTTCACCACCTGTATGCCCAGCGGGAGCGCAAGCGCGTCTACCGGCGGGGACCTGCCAGTGCATACCAGGCTGCGAGGGCCATGGTTTGCTGATACTGGCATAGCACACGCTTACAGACATTTTGACAGGCCTTCAAGCCACGTCGGACATTGCGCTCATCATCCCCTTATCAGCTGCTCAATCGGCTCGGATGGCCGGCGGGTGCAGGGGACACATAATGAACCTGATGCGAATGATAGACGACGTGTCGAAGGGGAGCGCTCTCCTGGTCTACCTTTGGGAGACCGTCTCTCGTGCTTTCGTCACGCGTCGGTCGATAGACGACATTGCACCTGGGCTCTGCATTGCCAGTGGAGTCGCACTGATTTCGCGTGTCGGTGTTTTTACGGGACTGGATTAACGCTGACTCCATGACTGACGATCTTTCAACAAGTTTCTGGCTTTCTGTAGATAGTCTGTACTGTCCGGCACGGCAGTGGAACGCACCTCATTCATAGGCGCCAAAAAAGAGGTCTTTCCCGATACAAGCGACGATTCGAGTTCCAGGAACTTGCTGATAAGAAGTAGAAACGATCGCTGGAATAAGAGCTTTATTCGCCCGACGTTTAGAATTCTCGCTCATCAGAGACAGTGACAGAAACGGATGATTCATGCACAGGAAGTTGCGACATTTATAGGACGCGGTTTATGTGCTACTGTGTACCTGTGATAATTAACCGTTCTTCCCTTCATCGAGATCGCTGACCGCTGGTGCGCTAATTGCTTGATGGCCGGCATGCAAATTGTTGACTTCCGAAATCTCATCACCCATTTTGGATCCTGGCGTGATGACTGCTCGGCCATCTGGTTCACCGGCCTGCATGCCCCCGAGTGGTTAGTTCCTCTGGCCAGACTATGCCCCAGAACGAAATATGGGGTAGGGATATCGTTACTCTTGGTGATAGACTGAGGTCCCGTGAACCATGACTCAAGCAAATTGCGTCCCATGCGATTATCACCTCTTACGATAATGTTGGCCTCATCGAACTTGAATATGTGGCCTGATCTCGTCGATTGGGCCGCGACCTGTGAGTTAGCGTCATTTCTCCGCACCGCTGTCGCGTGTTCGGTGATTCGCGTCCGGAGCAGTCTTCCAGTTTCTCCGACGTAGCTGTTTTGCCCTCAACTAAACCAGATCCGTCAAATGACTCCAGATATTTCTTGCCGTGGCAGTGAGTCTTTTGGTCTCACCACTTGACGCCCTAAGGTAGCCGCCGGTGTGTGTGCAACTCCAGCCCCAAGTGGTGCGAGAAGGCGACTAACGGCCTCGGAGAAGTACTTGATGCACGGGATCGCTCGCCAGAATTTGTGGTCGGTACCATTTTGTCGCTCGTCCCGTTTGCTCACTCACCGGTTGACGAAGTTGCGCGTGTAAACATTTTCTCTGAAAACCCGTCGAAGATATTGAACTTCGGCAACTTTGTCTTTCGGTTCACTGCAGTGCGTCTCAACACGCCGATATAGCATTCTTACGCAACTGCGTTTGTGGCTGATTGGGTGACTGCTGTCGAAGTTCAGTATTTGAGTCTTGTTCGTCGCTTTCCTGAACACTTTGGTCTTTAGGCCACTACAATCTTTGCGACAGACGAGGATATCCAGGAAAGCCAGTTAGTTGTTTCCCTCCTGCTCCATCGTAAATTGTATGTCGGGGAAGACCGCATCCGGACGTTCCTTGAATGTCAACAGTTGATCCTGATCGATAACGACGAAGGTATCGTCCACATACCGAGCCCACAATTTTGGTCTGAGGTGCTGGAAGACCAGCGACTCTAATCGTTGCAGGACCGCCCCGACAATGAACCCCGAGATCGGCGAACCTATTGCTGTTCCCTCCGCCTGCTCGTAGATTGTTCCGTCGAACGTGAAGTACGTCCTGAGACAGAACTTTAGGAGCTGAAGGACTTGGATATGTCCAGTACGATTCTCCATTTCATTGTATTTGGTTTGTAGGAGTAGCTCGACGATCTCGATTGCCAGATCCTTGGAAATAGAAGTAAAAAGGGACATGGCATCTTGACTTCATTTCGCAAGAGACATTCCTCTTTAATGGGTTCGAGCGAGAATCCGGAACGTCAGGCGAATAAATCTCTTGCTCCAGCGATCGCTTCTACTTCTTATCAAAGAAGTCTTTGCTGACCACGGAGCTTCGCAAATCCTGCGAGCTTAGAGTCATTGGCTTGAAAGATGGTCAACTGATGCGATGACTTGGTCTCCATGGGAGTATTTTGGAGTAAGTGCAGGACTGAGAATCAGGTTGCAATGATCCCTTCTTAATGTGGTCATTGTGACACCCCCATCCACATGAGATTCAAGCCGTCCCTTGGGGGCCAGATCGTGTGTAGAACGCACATACGAGCTGCTTAGCTGCGTCCGGGCCCCCCTCCGATAGTCTTGATCTTGTCTTGTTATCGCAGCAAGGCTGGAGAAGGAAGAGGGAGAGTGCGACAGAGGCTGCGCAAGTCCTCTGTTGTCATAAACCAATTCACGCAGAACTCACCGCTGCCGCGCCTACTTCGTGGGGCTTCCTGTGGAGTTCATCGCGTCGGATAGATGTGATCTAGGAAAGTTAACTCAAAGTAGAAGGCTCTCTCTGCGGTTCAGTCTGTCTGCCTGTATTCAAAGCAGGAAATGTCCTACAATAAGCAGTCGAACTAGAGGTCCTCTGATAATAACTCATCTTGCAGGTTCCCACATATCTAGTCCCGCGTTCCCTTTGTTCACCGTAAGAGATCTACAGTAGGTGTGCTAACTCATGAAATGTTAACCGGAATTCCGAAATGCGTTTTCGACTCAAGAAGATTGCTTAAGTAGGGTTGTAATATTAATGACCTAGCAACATAATCCCATCATAATTTTGTTACTACAGGATGCCATCTTTTGAAAGAACTTCTTCCCGGCCGCCTGCAAAAACAACACTCTGCAAAAAGGGCTAATCAAGTAGTATGAATTATTCTCACTGATTTTCGATGCTCCTGTAAATTCAAATATATGTCATAGAAGACCTGCATAAATATATTCATTCTTTTACATATTTGGTAGAAAACTACGTCTTCTTCATATTTTATACTGGACGATAGGTCATAATTTGATTGTAAAACAACTTTCTAATTATGATATTTTTTAAAATCGTGAGATGCCAATTCATAAAACGCCGTGTCTATGGATTTACTAATGTTGCTTGCGAATTTTACAATATGGCCAAAATTAGCGGCAAAATTCTATGAACCCTAGGCGGTCTCCTCTTGATACCGTAGAGAAATGAATGGTATTCCGCACATGGAAAACATACAACTTGTAGTTTGGAAACCCGGAGTACAAACGTAACGGCATAAAAGACTTGCATAAAAATATTCATTCTCCTACATATTTGCTAAGAAACTTCGTCTTCTCCATATTTTGTTCTAAGAGGAAGGGCACAATTTGGTTGTAAAAAGAGTTTCTCATTAGGATATTTTTTAAAACCGTGAGACGCCCGTTCATAAAATATCGTGTCTCTGCATTTATTTATGTTGCTTTCAAATGGCTCAAATTAACCGCCAAATTTTATGAATCCCCAGGTGGCCTCCTCTTAATACCGTAATGAAATGAATGGTACTCCGCACATGGAAAACATACAACTTGTAGTTTGGAAACCCGGAATGCAGAGTCGTGCTCAAAATTATTCGGGAATTGGAAAAGTTTTTTGGAACCCAATTATGCACTTTCATCCAGTACAAAATATGAAAATGTAGTTTTCTACCAAATATGTGAAAGAATGAATATTTTTATGCAAGTCTTCCACGACATATATTTGAATTTACAGGGGCATCGAAAATCAATGAGAAGTATTCATACTACTTGAGTAGCCCTTTTTTGCAGTTGGCCGGAAAGACGTTCTTTCAAAAGCTGGCATCTTGTAGTAACAAAAGTATTACAGGATTATGTTGGTAGGTCATTAATATTACAACCCTACTTAGGCAATCTTCTTGAGTCGAAAACGCATTTCGGAATTTCGGTTAACATTTCATGAGTTAGCACATCTTTTTTACAAAGCGTGAAGTGCCGACAGTAACTGAAGATACCTCCCAAAATGTTCAGCATCCTACCCCGACGAAAAGCACGTGACGGTACATTTTCGAATTGCGTGCTTGGTATGTAGGGAAGGATAGACTGGCGACTTCGAATCTTCCACCAATTTTGTGTGTACGATCAAGAATATTTTGGCGTCCTGTTGAGATAATTAATGAAAGTGCAGAATTAACCTCAGTCAAAACAGCGCGATCCTTCTCTCTCTTTCTCTGATAGTTCTGATTCGGAAACAGTCTCATATCCATTCTTAGCGGTGGCGGGAGGCGTGCAGACATAGTTCGAGACATAGGTTACACATTCCACCGAAATATTGATCGATTCCTATCCACCCACGGCAGCCATTTTTGCGCACTGCACGTAGTGTCTTGTGATTTTAGTAAGTACTTGCGAAGACGCACAATTTTCGCAGCTTACATACAGAATCCGGTGTTAAATCCCCAACTCCAAGACCTCTGTCGTGAGGAAGGAATTACCAATTAACGCTTTCCTTGTCACTTTCTTACTGAAGTGGGGGGTTCTGACTTTTTAATCGTTGTACTCTGTTATTGTAGCTTTTAACCCTTAACCAAAACGTCGCCACCAGGTCGCAGGCAAGACTCTTTTTACGGCGTTACACGAAATACTCACATTACAGGTGAACTTCACTTGGCAGCCTACGAGTTTAGAGTAGGTAGGCTAACACATGTAATGTCAACCGAAATTCCGAAATACGTTTTCGTTTCGAAAAGATTAATTAGGTAGGGTTGTAAAACTAGTCAGTCTGCAATATAATTCTATATCATTTCGGTTACCTCAGGATGCCGGTCTTCGAATGAACTTCTTTCCGGCTGCATGCAAAAACTATACTCTGTAAAAAATGACTACTTGAATATCACTCATTTCTCTCATTGATTTTCAATGCCTCTAAATGTCCAACTATATTTCATGGAAAACGTGCATACAAATATTCATTCCTCCGCTCATTCGGTAGCAATCTACGTTTTCTTCCAATCTGTACTCGAAGCAAGGGTACAATTCGGTTTTCAAAAACTTTTCCAATTCCCGAATAATTTTGAACCCGCACTACCACTACACTTGCATTCAGGGCTTCCAAACTACAAGCCGTTTCTTTTCCGCGTACGGAAGATCACACATTTCCTTACGGTAATAAAGGGGGACTATATAGGGTTCATGCAATTTGACAGTGGATTTGATCCATATTGTTAACTTTACAGGGCACATTGGTAAGTGCAGAGACATTATATTTTAAGAACAGCCATTTCACGGTATTTAAAATTCCCACAATTAGAAACTTTTAAAACCGAATTATATCTTTCAAGTATAAAACTGAAAGAAGGCGTACGTTTCTACTGAATGAGTAAAAGAATTAATATTTTATGCATGTTTTCCATGAAATATAATTGGACTTTTAGGGACATCGAAATTCAGTGAGAAAAATGCATGCCACTTATGTAGCCATCTTTTGCGGAATGTGGTTTCTGTATGCAGCCGGAAGAACGTTCGTTCAAAAGCCGGCACCCTGAGGTTTCTGAAATATTATAGAATTTTGTTGCAGGCTGACTAGTTTTACAACGCTGCTTAAGTAATCTTTTCGAAACGAAAACGAATTTTGCAATTCCGGTTGAAATTTCATGCGTTAGCCCACCAACTGTATATCCTCGACCCTTGATATGAGTTTGTTTTACCATGAAGGACTGGTTGGTTGGAAATGTAAGACGAGTCTCTTCTTGTTTCGAAGACTAGCAGTTGTATCCAATATCACGTCTTGACATGGTCCGACATCCACATAAAATAATAGCAGGCTTTATTGTCGTAAACATTTTTCGGTTTGACAATTCTCCATTTTGCATTGCTGTAAATTTCCGTTTTTTATGTCGTGATTTGTGTCACGTGTCTTATGCATAACCTAATTAATAAGACTCACAAGCGCTATTTGAACAGGTTAGATGTACTGACTGTTCTATCAGCTGACCAATCACCACTGACTTGAGAGATGTCGTCATTGTGCCACAAATTTCCATATCGCAGAAGTCCTTCTGTTAGCAAATGTTCCCTATTACGTTAAAGAGGAGATTTTGTGAACAAACAGAGCAGACTGCATTGCGTGCTATATATATGCATATATCAACATGAGTAAAGATTCGAGGTCCACATAGCTTATCCCGTACATAATCCTCAAAAGAAGACGAAGAAAATGAGGCGATGCCATGGACCACACTGTATTGGTGCTGACGTATCGGAAACTTCCTCGTTTCCATCATCAGAGCTGTGGTTTCACACTTCTGAAGGGCCGACTCGAAGGATGCGATGAAATCTTCCGGTCGAGCATCTCTTGTGTTGAACTTAGCGTCATGGGATAAAACCTCCAGCTGTTGCTGTGTGAGGCGACGAGACGAGAGGTTGTGAACCAGGACACCGTCAGTAAAGCGCTCCATTTGTGGACGTATTCTTTCGAACTTCTCTAGCAATTGGCTATCGTGCAACCTGCGGTGGCAAAGTGCATTGGTGAGTATTGTCGATTCTAGCATTTGCAGATCGTGTGCGGCGACTATCGACCGGCATGCGGAAATATGCTGTTCTATCGCTCGTCGGTAATTACGGATGCGAAAGTGGCAGTCTTGTATCAAGACTCAGATCATTTTCTTTAAATCTGCCATTGTCCACTGGCAGAGGTCAGTCATCACTGACAGGCTCTATCGAGTCGGCCCTTCAGAAGTGTGAAGCCAACGAAGAGTACAAACGTTCCATGCGGCAACAAGTTTCAACTCTCCTCCTCCAGCACAAACCTCAAAGGGTGATTTCCAAAGCAGAAGACCGAGAACTTCTGAGAATGCGGTAGATGAGTGATATCGCCACCCTGCCCACCGACAAGGGGCGCTCGACGGCTGTCATGGACAAGACCGAGTACACGGCGAAACAGGAAGGTCTGTTGGAGGACGAAGTTGCCTACAAGCTTTCGGAGACTGGAGGGTTCAAGTGGTAAGTGAACAGTGAAAACAAGGCGATAGACAAGTTAAGGAAGGCAGGGGCCCTCAAAAGGCAGGAAGCACTGACTGCAAAAGCCACAGATACCGCCATGGCGCGCTTCCACGGTCTGCCAAAAAGTGCATAAACCGGGAGTACCTCTACGCCCCATAATCTCCTTACGCGGCACCCCGAGCTTTGGACTATCGAAATGGCTTTAACAACGATTTCGTTTCCTGACTGAGGATTCTGAATGGACGGTGAAGTCGGGTGAGCAGTTTCTGAGGAGTATCAGGCAGCTAGAAATAGAGCCAGACGAGATGATGTTGTCGTGTGATGTGGTCTCCTTGTTCACCTCCATTTCAACCGACCTGGCCATCAGCACCATTGACGAGCTTCTTCAGGAGAAGTACGATGAAACTGATCAACGGCTTAAACGAACGCACGTCATCGAACTCCTGGAATTGTCCCTCAGAACTTTCTTTACTTTCAACAACCGGGTTTACGAGCAAAAGAAGGGAACACCGATGGGCTCCCCGCTGTCTGGACTGATTGCCGAGGCTGTTCTGCAGAGGCTCGAGCGACTGGTCTTCCGTTCGTACTCCCCAAAATTCTGGGCCACATACGTCCAGGACACATTTGTCGTAATTAAGCGGAACGACGTTCAGGACTTCAAAGTCTTGTTGAACTCAATATTCCCCGACATCCAATTTTCAATGGAAGAGGAGGACAACAACCAGTTGCCCTTCCTTGACGTAAACGTCACAAGGATGGCTAATGGGGGGATCAGAACTACGGTATACCGAAAGGCAACGAATACCAGACTCATCCTTCAATTCCGGAGTGACCACCCCATTGGTCACAAACGCAGTTGTGTCAGAGCTCTTTTCCAACGAGTTTAAAAACACTGTCATGACAGCGACGGGAGAAGGGAGGAAGTGAAATATCTACACTCCCTAGTCACAGACAATGGTTACCCACGATTCTTCATACGTGAGAGCCGAAGATGATTTCACCGCGAAAGATCTAACGATGAGAAGCCGAAGTTCTGGCTCGCAATCCCCCCCATGCGAAATGTTTCTGAGGCGACAGCAAGAATCCTTTGGGATTGTGGTGGCTCATAAACCGGAATCCACTATCAGGCAGCAGATAATGAGGCCCAAAGACCAGCTACGGGCAACGGAACAATCAGCAGTGGTCTACAGCATACCTTGCCAAGATTGCAGTGCAAGATATGTTGGTGAAACGGGCAAACGCCTCTGCACAAGATTGCACGAGCACCAGCTTGCGGTCAGATAAGCTGTCACTGGTATATGGCCACATACAACAGGAGAAACACAATTTCGCCTTTGGGGAGGCAAGCGTCATCGGCCGAGCCAGCGACAAGATGGCCAGGCTGGTTCTCGAAAGTTGGTCCTCAGTTGACACAATCAACAGAGCCATTGATCTTCATCCAGCCTACCAGGCACTTCGTACGAGATTCCAATCAGTTCGGACGGGGCCGACAGCACTGGCGAACAAATCGTGGCTCCCTCAACATTTGTCACCTTCACAGCAGGGGGAGAGAGCCAGCTGGGGGTCAGACGACGGACGCGAGACATCGACCCACTGACGCGCCCAAACAGCTGACCGCGATTCCCACATGCAACGGCAGCTGATCATCCCGTCAGATTATGGGGGAGGACCCACGGGCACACGGACCTAGCAGCGACAACGGCGGCCGGGCAGGAGGCAGAGGTCACAAGAGCGCCCCAGCGGCCGGTCACTGTGAGACTAAAGCCAATTCCCCGCCAGCAAGCAGGTCAGGGTTCTTGTATCAGGCACGAGACAGGCGGCGAGACAGAACAACTCTGGGCTAGCAGGAACAAACAGCCTACCACTAATCTGATTATGGAAACAAGGAAGTTTCCGAAACGCCAGCACCAATACAGTGTGGTCCATGGAATCGCCTCTTTTTCTTCTTCGTCTTCTTTTGGGGATGATGAAGGAAATACGCACATACATACCCAGCAAAATTCGTGACCTGTGCGCAGTTTTTCAGCTTTTAAAAACCCAAAGATTATATAGGCGGAATACACAACGCAGCGCAAATGGATGAATATAGTGGGGATTTAAAGTACACTTGGCTATTGCTATTTGTTAGTATGCGGAAACAGAAAATTCGGATAGATAATATCGATAAATAGGGGAACCGAAACAGGCCGACAGACATGTTAACCAGTTCATCAGACTTGTCCATGGCATACAATTCATTATCTGAATGCCAAAAAGAACAGACTATGGGACTTTCAGAGTCACGTAAAGGTTTTTCGAAAATTGCAAAGGACGCTCACAAGAGGTCCTCCTCGGAATTGAAATGGGGCTCGTGACAGTCATGTTTTGCTCCGACAACGCAGTCAAAAGATCTGCCTCTACGTAGTGAAGCCTGCTTTTAGGTATCGTCCACGTCTGTTTCCGGTCATCCTGACTTCGGCTTGTCTTCGGAACGCGATACGGGTGTGAGAGGAGTGAGTGAGGTGGAGGCTGCGCAAGTCGGTCTCGCCGTAAACAAACCCACGCGTAAGCCACCGCGCCTTGGCCCAGCTTATGGCGCACCAGTGGACTCCGTCGGTTACGACGATTGGAATGTTGGGTTTCGTCCATCTATGATTAGTGATGTGAAGAGACAATTCACCGACATACTCGACGGATGTAGCCCTTATGAACAGAAATGACGAGGAACAGGAAAGCCATAGCACTCCAACTTGACCTACTCGTATCCCCTATTTATGTCCTTTCGGAAGGTTTGATTCCAATGACCCTAAAAGATTATGACACCAGTCCAACCCCAGAAATAGAGTGAGTCGGTCAGCTCAGACAAACGCACGTTTTGGCGAGGTTTGGTCTTGCAGGCCCGCCTTATTTATACTGTATGGGTAGCTTACTAACTATACAGTGAGTGACCGATCTCATGAAATGTTGGCTGAAATTCTGAAATGCGTTTTCGATTAGGAAGGATCACTTAAGCGAGGTCGCAAAGCTTATTTCCTTGCGGCATAATTCTATAATATTTTGGACTCGTCAGGATGTCAGCTTTTGAGTGCATTGTTTTTCAATCTCTTATAGAGACTGGACTGGGCAAAAAATGACTACTTAATTAAAATGCATTTTTTCTATTAATTTTCGGTAGTCTAGCGATTTCAAATATATTTTATAGAAATCACGAGCAAAGCTATGCTTTTCTTCAGTCATTTAATGTAGAATCACGTCATCTTTATAATTTATACTCAAAGAGGGAGTATAATTAGGCTTTAAAAAAGTTTTCTAATTGCCGAATAATTTGGAGTCTGATCAGTCGTTGCATTGGCGCTTAATGATTACAACCCACAAGGTGCATGCGTTCTGCGTAAAGAAAATCGCATATTCTTCTATGATTTTAAAAAGGTACGATATGGAGTTGATAAAAGTTTGCAATGGATGCGAACCATGTTGTGCATCTCATGAGGAGCAGTGGTAAACGGACAGGTACGATGTTGTATGAATGGACACTGCGCGATCTTAAAAATCGCATGATTATACCCCCTCCTTGAGTCTAAAATATGAAGATGACGCGATTCTCTATTAAATGACTGAAGGAAAGCATAGTTTCTCTCGTGATTTCCATAAAATATATTTGAATTTGCAAGACTGCCGAAAATTAATGGGAAAAATGCATGCTAAATAAATAGTCATTTTTTACCCAGTAAGTTCTCTCTAAGAGATTGAAAAACAATGCATTCAAAAGCTGACATTCTGACGAGTCCAAAATATTAAAGAATTCTGCCGCAAGGAAATCAGCGTTGCAACCGCGACCAAGTAATCCTTCCTAGTCGAAAACGCATTTCAGAATTTCAGCCAACCGTTCATGAGATCGGTCACTTACTGTACATATCTAACTTAGCCACTGGCTGGATCAGGATGGGGAAGAGAGTGCGGACAGAGCTCGAAGCACGCGCAGGGAAGCGCGTGTGAACGGAGGCTTGGTGGAACCCAAAGTGGCGTGTACACATTTCCTCCGACAGCCACTCGGTGGATTAAGAGGATAAGGAGGGCGCGATTGTAACTGGAAGGCCTGGGGAGGGGACCGCGAGTTAATTCGTAGGGCGTGGCCACTATAGAGGAACCGACGGAGTTGCACTCCGTCCGAACAAGGCCATTAGCAAGTCTAATTAGCCACTCGCTGGATTAAGATAATAAAGAGGGCGCAAGCAAGGATCGAAGCCCGCGCAGGGAAGCACGTGTGAACTAATACCCGATGTAACCGAGGCTGGCGTATGCTCATCCCCTCCCCCCCCCCTGTGCAAGGTACAGTCACTTGCTGAATTTAAAAAAGTGAGGAAGGCGCAAACACGTGGTGTACGTAAAGTCAGCGTTTTAGGAAGCAAACCATGTGACATCAAGCAAATGGGGCTGCATGAACAAACCCAGTCCACGTTTTTAACTATTTATTATG